GTTCAGGCCTTTATCAGCCCTTACCTGAATATTGCCAGTGGCTTCCTAGTAGGTCTACTCTTCACTAGTTTTTTTCTCCGAATCTTGTCCCACGCAAAGTAACAAAAATAATTTTCTGAAAAATATCTCTACTTATGGAACGTTGCTGCTCAAATATCTGTGATGGCTGCAGTGAAATCTAAACTGTTTAACCCAGTTTTCTTCTTTACTTGGCCCCAACCTGCACCTCATTCTGACTTCCCTGTGACAGTTTTTTATCCTCTGTATTGATGATTTTCAAGTTGAACTTTAAGAAACTACTAGAATAGGCCAGGCATGGTGGCTCATGCCTATAATCCCAGCACTTTGGAAGACCAATGCAGGCAATCACCTGAGGTTGGGAGTTCAAGACCAGCCTGACCAACGTGGAGAAACGCTGTCTCTACTAAAAATAAAAAAATTAGCTGGATGAAGTGGCACATGCCTGTAATCTCAGCAACTCGGGAGGCTGAGGCAGGAGAATCACTTGAATCCAGGAGGCGGAGGTTTTGGTGAGCTGAGATCACGCCATTGCACTCCAGCCTGGGCAACAAGAGTGAAACTCCTTCTAAAAAAAAAAGAAAAGAAAAGAAACTGCTAGAATACCCATTCACCATCAAAAATTGTGTGTGTGTGTGTGTGTGTGTGTGTGTGTGTGTGTGTGAGAGAGAGAGAGAGAGAGAGAGAGAGAGAGATTTCTTTTAATTAAAGAACTTTGAAGTTTTTAAGTTTAAATATTACTGGTCTGATCATTTGGAATAATTTAACTTTTTCCTCCACCACTATGGGATATTGTTCTTTTTCATAACTTTGCTTAGCGTGTCATTTCTTCCCATCTGCATGTCTACTTTTTCAGCTTTCTTACCTTTCAATTTATGTACTTCTTTGTGAAGTATTTTTTGATTCCCTTCCTACCCCTACCTCACCCCTTTCACTCTTCTCAGATTGTCTCTGAATATTGCATCCCAGCTATGTCTTTCTCGTGTCACTTAACACATTCTACCTTCTTTTGAAACTATTTATGGACTTTTCTTATCTTGCCGGGAGTCTATAAACTCCTTAACAAGAGGCCTTAAAAATGTGTTTATTTTCAACAATGCCTGCCTACTCTTGCACATATTACTCATTCAGTAGATACTTTAAATAGGATGATGAAATAGCAATGAAGAAAAAGTGTACCATTACATGAAACATATCCATTAATATTCAGCCTTATTTTGCTGTGAAGTGTAAAATGCAGTTGAACACCAGTCATTTTACAAAGGAAGATTTAACTGTTTTGCATCTTTGAGTTTAATAGTCACCTGAAAGCAATTGTCATCTGAAGATAATATAATAGACACCAAGTTAAATGACTTGCAAATTTTAATTCACATTGAGTAAAATAACTTTTGTAAAATTCTGAACTTTAGAAACAAATGAAGATTCTTGTGATAATTTGTTTATTTTATAAGCTGTTTAATCAAAAAGAAAATTTAAAGATACATTAGGAATAAAAGAATTTTAAAAATAAAAGAACTTATTTGCATGATGTATCCTGAAAACTTAGGGCAGCCAGTATTGCTGAAATAATGGAGAATAGGAGTCTAGGAGTGGTTGTGGTATTTTTGTATTTAAAGCTTACACAATAGCATAGAAATGTTGTTGTACATATTTACTTACAAGAATATTTTTTGAATAAGTTTACTTTCCTAAATGCCATCTGTTTTAATGACCTGCTACTTGGATTCTTTCTCAGTGTTAGGTTGCTAACTATATGAGATTTGCTGCTTCTCATTGCTATCAGAATAGGAAATTTAAAATTTAGGCAGAAATATAAAAGTCTTAAAACTTTGCCTTTTCAAAGAATATCAGGGCCAGGCATGATGGCTCATGCCTGTAATCCCAGCACTTTGGGAGGCCAAGGCAGGTGGATCATTTGAGGTCAAGTGTTCGAAACCAGCCTGGCCAACATGATGAAAACTCGTATCTACTAAAAATACAAAAATTAGCTGGACATGTTGACAGGCACATGTAATCCCACCTAGTCAGGAGGCTGAGGCACGAGAACCACTTGAATCCAGGAGGCAGAGGTTGCAGTGAGCTGAGATGGCACCACTGCACTCCAGCCTGGGCAACAGAGTGAATTCCACCTCAAAAATAAAATAAAATAAAATAAAATAAAAAATAATGTCAGTTTTTTCCGCTATTTTTATATTGATTAGCTTGTCTTTCTGTAGAGTATCATTCATGAGTCTGCAGACCATTTTAGGTTGAATATTTCCCCCAAGTCTATTTTATAGTTTCTAAATTTAATCTTATTTTAAGGGAACATTTTTAGGTTCTATTTAGGACTACAGTAATTAAAGTAATTAATAATTAATAATTGCTACCTACTCTGTATATTGAAGCTAAATCCCCAAATTAATTTTTAATACTAGTATCTTTTACCTTACTAATTTGTATTAAATTTAAGGCTATAAAAAAAAACAAAAACTTATTTTTTAGCTTAATAGGATCTTTGTCCTATTCAGACATTTCAAGTTATTTACATTATTTTACTAGTGAAAATACAACACCAAAAAAAAAAAAATTTATCAGGTAGTTCTCATTCTTATGATCAATGCCTTTTTTTAATGCAGTACAAGAAAATAGACCTTTATCTAGTGAACATCCATTTCAAAGTATGGGGTCAAAGTGAAGGATTCTTTTATTGTTTGGTTTTGAATTTTTTTTTTTTTTTTTTAAGGCTAGTCAATTGAAGCAGTGGGAGTGGAGAAGAACAAAGAAATCTGTAACTGGCTGTGATCAATTAGTTGTAAACACCACTGCACTCAGACCAGCCAAAGTGAAGGATTCTTTTGATAATGATAGAATATGTGTTTGATCATTTGAGTTTAAAGACTATGGAAAGCAGCTGATAAGATATACTCACGAAAGTGCTTTGACATTCCACTAAGGCTATTCTCTTTTAAGCACATTTTCCTATGAAGTGTTTGCAGTTGCAGTTGCCTACACCATGTCAATGCCTGCCTTTTTTCCTGTTGTGAAGTTTTTCCTTTACATATACAGATTCATGAAAGAGTTTATGGTATAGATTATCTGAAACCAAACAGGACATATTTTCATACACTTTAATACCATTTGAACACCCTGGGTGTCAGTTGTTGCTGGGACCTGTTTTTGACTCTGTTGAACCTTTACTGGTTGTGGTTTGTCTGGCCATCACATGACTTCTCTGAAAATTCCCCCTCCTCTTCATTTCCAGTAAACTGTTTGAGCAGGAGTGAGTCAGAGTGAAACCAGCTTCCCTGTAACCACAGGGCTTGTTAAAGAATTTGTCAACGTGGACTCTAGAGGGTTTGCATTAAGCTTTGCAGTAACTGTTATGGTTTGTGTTGCGTCAGGAGTTCCACAGAAAAGCTTCCTGCTTGCAGGATCTCTTGCTTGTTTGCAAAGAGTTAAACTGATAAACTTTACCATAGTGAACATGAGAGACGCATGTTAAACACATTTCTTTATCATTAAAGGCGTTGTCAAAGCTACCAGGAATTACTGTAGTTTCTCCTTTCAGAATCAACCAACCACACCCAATAACGTTTAGTTTTTGAAAAGGCGGGCCTGGTAGATAGTCTTTCACAGTTGGCTAGTCATTTTATCACAAGGCACCATCAAAATTAAGCAGTTTTAAGTGGCCTTGATCAATTCTGTTACAGGATATTTCGACAATTTGCACAGTTAGTTAGGTTTGGGGACTAAAGGTCACTTACTTGCAGTTTGTTCATCAAGAAAAGGTAGCACTTAGACTAATGTAGTTGTGATGTCTAAGCACACTTAACTTGATTTATAGTGGAATTCTTCATGCCCCCTTTTATTTGCTTTCTCAGGAAGCATTTTATTTTGAACTCTTTTGCCACCTCACTGGCAGACTTTAAACTCTCTCCCTTTCAGTTTCTTCTGTTTCTTTAACTTACTCCCAATTATCAACAATGAAATACGAAATTCTCTAATTATCAAATAGGAAAGATAGTTGCAATGTGTTGCAAGCTGGTAAATGAATGGCCAGCGAGAAACTTGTCTTCTCACCTTACATTCCGGAGTTCATTTCTTTTTACATGTGCATTTCTGTATTTATCCTTGTTACCTTTAGCTAGACTTACTCATTTGAAAAATAAATTTGGCCGGGAGTGGTGGCTCAGGCCCTTAATCCTAGTACTTTGGGAGGCTGAGGCAGGCAGATCACAAGGTCTGGAGATTGAGACCATTCTGGCCAACATGGTGAAACTCCGTCTCTACCAAAATACAAAAAAATTAGCTGGGCATGGTGATGTGTGCCTGTCGTCCCAGCTACTTGGGAGGCTGAGGCAGGAGAATTGCCTGAACCCAGGAGGCGGAGATTGCAGTGAGCCAAGATTCTGCCACTGCACTCCAGCCTGGCGACAGAGTGAGACTTCGTCTCAAAAATACATAAAAAATAAAATAAAATAAATTTAGTGAAAACTTTTAAACCCAACCTCCTAAAAATTAATTTTATTCTGCTTACACTTTTGTAGCAAAATAGGAAAAACATTCTAGAAGATGTTGAAGCTAGTTATTCCTCACAGGAAAAAATATAGAATAATGAAGTTTAAAATTGTATATGTTCTAGCCATGCTGTCTACCTCTCAGTCATCAAACTAAAATTTAAAAAAAAAAAAAATTGTTTTGATGACAAAGCAATTCTCAATGAAACCAGATGATTTTCAAATGAAAATAAGAGGTTAGTACAGCCTAATTATTAGCAAGGACAGAATAAATATTTAAGGTTTTTCTTCTTTGGTTGCTTTGCACATTGGAGTAGAAAATTGTTTTGGGCCAGGCTCAGTGGCACACACCTATAATCCCAACACTTTGGGAGGCTGAGGCGGGTGGATCACAAGGTCAGGAGTTCGAGACCAGCCTGGCCAATCTGGTGAAACCCTGTCTCTATTAAAAATACAAAAATTATCAGGCATTTGCTTGAGGTTACATTGAGCCATGCTCACGCCACTGCACTCCAGCCTGGGAGACAGAGCGAGACTCCATCTCAAAAAAAAAAAAAAGACATAAATAGTGGGCATAGTGGCTCACACATGTAATCCCAGCACTTTGGGAGGCCAAAGTGGGCAGAACACCTGAGGTCAAGAGTTCCAGACCAGCCTGGTCAATATGTCAAAACTGCAATTCTACTAAAACTACAAAAAAATTAGCTGGGTGTGCTGGGGAGTGCCTGTAGTCCAGGCTACTTGGGAGGCTGAGGCTGAGGTAGGAGAATCACTTGAACCCAGAGACAGAGTTGCAGTAAGCTGAGATCACACCACTGCACTCCAGCCTGGGCAACAGAGCAAGACTGCAAAAGAAAGAAAGAAGAAGGAAGGGAGGGAGGGAGGGAGAAAGCAAGCAAGGAAACAAGCTAGCTTCGTGTTATGTCTGCTTTGTTCTTTTCACTTTCACACCTGTTTGCAGTTATGGAGGAGAAAAGCACTGGGTAAGCATTAGGTTACCTTTGTTAGACTAAAGTTTTTTGGGTTTTTTTTTTTTCAGGTTTGTGTTTAAAATACCTTTTGTAAAATGCCTTTAGAAAGGTCCCTTTTGGCCAGCCTCAGTGGCTCACACCTGTAATCCAAGCACTTTGGGAGGCTGAGGCTGGCCGATCACAAGGTCAGGAGTTCGAGATCAGCTTGGCCAATATGGTGAAACCCTGTCTCTCCAAAAATACAAAAATTCACCGGGCGTGGTGGCGTGTGCCTGTAGTCCCATTTACTTGGGAAGCTGAGGCAGAAGAATCGCTTGAACCTGGGAGATGGAGGTTGCAGTGAGCTGAGATGGTGCCAGCCTGAGCAACAAAGTGAGATTACATCTCAAAAAAAAAAAGACCCCTTTTATTGAAACTTGGACCAACAGATTACTTATACTTCTTTATTTTTGCTTATGAGCTTGTAAATCAGTAACATGCTAAATACAAACCCACCCTGTTATAACTGCTGACTGCTTTAATGGGTACTGGCCCACAGAGTTTAAAGGAAGACTTGGACAGCAGAATAGCTATTATGCTCATGTCCTATTGCAAAGATGCCTTTCTTTCTAATTATCCAAAATGTTTGGTTTGTCATGATCAGTCTGCAGTTCTTTTCTTCTTTTTTGTTTTTTTGTGGTTTTTTTTTTGTTTTTTGTTTTTTGAAATGGAGTCTCCTTCTGTCACCCAGGCTGTAGTGTAATGGTGCGATCTCAGCTTACTGCAGCCTGCACCTCCCAGGTTCAAGCAATTCTGCCTCAGCCTCCCAAATAGCTGGGACTACAGGCACAAGCCACCATGTCCAACAAATTTTTGTGTGTTTTTAGTAGAGAAGGGGTTTCACCATATTTGCCAGGCTAATCTGGATCTCTTGACCTTAGGTGACCTGCCTGCCTCAGCACTCCCAAAGTGCCGGGATTACAGGTGTGAACCACCGTGCCCCGCCCCAATCTGCAGTTCTTTCTTGTTTAGTATTTAAGGAGATTTCCTTCAATAGAGTCTCCTTCCCATTTTGGCTATCTTGGGTGTTACAACTTCAAAATAACTGTCAATCATGCTTTTAAACTAAGGCCCTATGAACAGATCTAAGGAAATGGGCATGATAATTCATTCAGTGCTCCCCTCAAAAGTAGGGATATAATTTAGACTTCTTTTTTTTTTTTTTTTTGAGACAGAGTCTCACTCTGACACCCAGGCTGGAGTGCAGTGGCTTGATCTCCGCTCACTGCAACCCCCGCCTCCCGGGCTCAAGCAATTTCCCTGTCTCAGCCTCCCAAGTAGCTGGGACTATAGGCACATGCCACCAGGCCTGGCTAATTTTTTGTATTTTTAGTAGGGATGAGGTTACACCCTGTTAGCTAGGATGGTCTCGATCTCCTGACCTCAGGTGATCGGCCCACCTCGGCCTCCAAAAGTGCTGAGATTACAGACATGAGCCACGGCGCCCTGCCATCCTCTTCAGCCTTTTTAGAGAATGTAATTGTTTACTTTTTACATCTAACAGCCCCCAAATCTCAGTTTTTTCCATGGATCTTTATCTAATTCATTTATATATTTCCTAACATGAAATCATAACTGCACATGATGAAAATCACAACTGCACATGATTTTCCAGAGGCAATTGCCACATAACTGTACTCATTTTTCATATTTCTAAAATCATGGGCCTGTTTAGCAATGTATTTTGCTGACATTTTTAATAAACAATTTAAGATTGCTCACAGTTCCCTTTTTTTTTTTTTTTTTGAGATGGAGTCTCACTGTGTCACCCAGGCTGGAGTGTTCACTCCTCCACCTCCTGGTTCAAGTGATTCTCCTGCCTCAGCCTCCTGGGATGACAGGCATGTGCCACCACGCCCAACTAATTTTGTATTTTTAGTAGAAACGGGGTTTCAGCATGTTGGCCAGGCTGGTCGCAAACTCCTGACCTCAGATGATCTGCCCACCAACTATAGATTTGGAACTTAAACTCCACATTTCCTTTTCCAGGGCCATTTATAAATTTGTTAAGATTGGTTCTGTTGGCCAGTTACAGTGGCTAATGCTTATAATCCCAGCACTTTGGGATACTGAGGTAGGAGGATTGCTTAACCAAGCCCAGTAGTTTGAGGCCAAACTGGGCATCATAGTGAGACCCCATCTCTAAAAAGAAAACTTTAAAAAATTTATCAGGCCCTGATGGCATGCATCTATAGTCCCAGTTATTTGGGAGGCTGAGGAAGGAGGATCACTTGAGCCCGAGAGGTCAAGGGTGCAGTGGGCTATGATGGCATCACTGTACTCCAGCTGGACAGCAGAGTAAGACCCTTTGTCAAAACAAAACAAAACAAAAAAGATTGGTTCTACCTCAGAAAAGAATGTCACTGTTGACCTTTCCCATAATAGAGAGGAGTTCCCATTTATCTTATCCTTTGTTTTCAGTCTCTTAAGTTTCCTTTCTCTGACAGTTTTGTGAATTCCATACAGACTTAGTTTTCATAGCTTTGGATATTTAAGTCAAGTTATTTTAATTATTTTGACTTTTTTCTTTTTTTCACCAGACTAGTATTATTGTCATGTTTTACACATAACAGATTGTCATCTCCTTTTTTTTTTTTTTTAATTTCAGTTTGATCTGAATTATCAGATGAGTGGCTGGGCATGGTGGCTCATTCCTGTAATCCCAGCAGTTTGGGAAGCTGAGGTGGGAGGATCACTTGAGCCTAGGAGTTCAAGACCAGTCTGGGCAACATACTGAGACCCCCGTCTCTATTTGTTTTTCTTTTTTCTTTTTTCTTTTTTTTTTTTTGAGATGGAGTCTCGCTCTGTTGCCCAGGCTAGAGTACAGTGGCATGATCTTGGCTCACAACCTCTGCCTCCCAGGTTCAAGTGATTCTCCCTGCCTCAGCCTCCTGAGTAGGTGGGATTACAGGCATGTGCCACCATGTCTGGCTAAGTTTCCTATTTTTAGTAGAGAATGGGTTTCTCCATGTTGGTCAGGCTAGTCTTGAGTTCCTGACCTCAAGTGATCCACCTGCCTCAGCCTCCCAAAGTACTGGGATTACAGGCATGAGCCGCTGTACCTGGCCAATAATTTTTTTATTCTTTTTTTGTTTTGTTTTGTTTTTTTCAGACAGAGCCTCTCTCTGTCTCCAGGTAGGAGTGCAGTGGCGCAATCTCAGCTCACTGCAACCTCAGCCTCCTGGGCTCAAGTAATTCTCCTACGTCAGCCTCCTCAGTAGCTGGGATTACAGGCATGTGCCACCACACTCAGCTAATTTTTGTATTTTTAGTAGAGACAGGGTTTCACTATGTTAGTTAGGCTGGTCTCAAACTCCTGGCCTTGTGATCTGCCCACCTCGGCCTTCCAAAGTGCTGGGATTACATGCGTGAGCCACCACGCCCGGCCAATTTTTTATTCTTTTTTTTTTTCTTTTTTTTTTTTTTTTTTGAGATGGAGTTTCGCTCTTGTTACCCAGGCTGGAGTGCAGTGGCGCGATCTCGGCTCACCGCAACCTCCGCCTCCCGGGTTCAGGCAATTCTCCTGCCTCAGCCTCCTGAGTACCTGGGATTACAGGCACGCACCACCATGCCCAGCTAATTTTTTGTATTTTTAGTAGAGACGGGGTTTCACCACGTTGACCAGGATGGTCTCGATCTCTTGACCTCGTGATCCGCCCGCCTCGGCCTCCCAAAGTGCTGGGATTACAGGCGTGAGCCACCGCGCCCGGCCCAATTTTTTATTCTTAATATATTTTTCTTCTTTCTCTCCATTCCATTTTACAGCCCCCTTCTTAGATATGAACATGTTTCTTTTTTGTTTTTTAAATTAAAAACAATGATCAGGCACAGTGGCTCATGCCTCTAATCCAACACTCTGGTAGGCCAACCCTCCCAAATGATCACTTGAGCTCAGAAGTTCAAGACCAGCCTGGGCAACATGGTGAAACCCTCTCTTTACATTATAAATTATAATTTTTAAAATTTAAAAATTATAAAAATAAGGCCAGGCATGGTGGCTGATGCCTGTAATCCCAGCACTTTGGGAGGCCACAGTGGGCGGATCATGAGGTCGGGAGATCGAGACCATCCTGGTTAACATGGTGAAGTGAAACCCCGTCTCTGTTAAAAATACAAAAAATTAGCCAGGTGTGGTGGCATGCACCTGTAGTCCCTTAAACCTGAGAATCGCTTGACCTGGGAGGCAGAGGTTGCAGTGAGCCAAGATAGCGCCACTGCACTCCAGCCTGGGTGACAGAGACTCCATCTCGAAAAATGTGTGTGTGTGTGTGTGTGTGTAAAATAATAAATGTAAACAAAACAAAAATTTCTTATTTTCATTCTAAGATTGCACTAGTAATTGTGCTCATCATAAGGTCTGATGGAGGAGATAAAATAAGAAAATAAGTCAGGCAAGATATTTTACTTCATTGGGTATCAGGTGTTTTTTGTCTTGACATTTACTAGCAGCATAACTTCAATCTAAACAATTTTGTCCATAATGAGTTTGTTTATGGTGATAGATATTATTATTTTACAGAAAAGATGAACTGTGATTCAGAGATGCTAAAAGATCTAATG